CTATCCCTTTTATCTTCCTTTGAATTCATTAATTATACATCTGTCACATGATTTATAGATACCAGCAGAGATGGAGGTGGAAATTATTCACGCTGGGAACTCCTACGGAACTCCTGTTAGGAGCTTGGATGCTATTAAATATCCCGTATTACAAAGAGGCATGGAGATTCGGAATCAAGCACCATGTTCCCAGAAATTCTAGAACTGTGTATATAGTCTCTCCAAAAATTCATATTTTAGTCATTTTAAACATAGGGGGGATTGCTTGTATTAGATGTAACTTTTTTCTTCTACCGATTACTGAATAGTGTAGATTATGAAAGTCTGCATCTTTTAGAGGGAAGCATTCCAAATTTCCTAAGCGCACAGGAATCAAATCACTTAAATTATGTCTAGTTCATATCTGAGTGCATGCATTTGCCATTAGCTATGTCAGGCATTTATTTTTCATATAATTTCATCATCAAGTAGTATTTATTAAGCACAAACCTGGCTAATTAATTTTCTAAAGAATAATAGGTATTCTTAAATTCATTCTGTTTAAGAGCCCTTAAATAACCTACCTGACCCATGACATTTTTTTCCCTTAGCAAAAATTGTCTTTAAATTTTAATTTTTAACTTATTATTTCAAGGTTTCCATAGGACACATTCCAGTCCCAAAGTCAGTATATTCAAATAAAAAAAACATCATGCAGAATTGGTAAACCAGACTCCAGATTTCTAGTTTTAGAACAGCATGTTAATATTCTATCTCAATTTTTTAAAATATCACTACTCTGGTTATACATTTTTTTTCTAAAAGTGATTCATTTTTAAGTTTAAAAAATAAGCATTTAAGTTAATATAATCAATAGACATAAAAAATGCATTTTCTCAAAAAAATTCAGTTAATACGGTATATCAAAGGCAAAGCACAGAAAACCGCTGACCTTAGAATTCAAAATGTTTAGCAAATATGGATGAAGATACCTAAGTTCTTTAAACTGATCATTAAGACTTTGCATGTAGTTCTCCAGAGAAAAGGAAATGCTAATTTTTAAGTGGATTTTGGGAAAGGAGAATATTTTTTCTCAAGGTATTTTTTTCTGTCGGCCATAAAGACAATGTTTCTTTTCTTTTAATGGTAACAATGCCACATTCACTTTACATTCCAATCACAGAAGTGAAATTTTAGAAAAGCTTCCTGGTGAACATCCTAATTTCATTCCAGCCATAGTTCTTAGGTCATGAGAAGTTAACACATATACTTGTATCTAGCATATTTTGGTTCTGGAAGCAATTACACTGTGCTTCAGGGGCAAATGCCCAGGAAGAAAGACAGGAACTAGAGACATACAGTAATGCATGTTATTGTTTAAGCATATTAGTATCAATACTTGAAGTTGTCTTTGGCTGTTATGGTCAACGGTTACTTTGTACATTGCAAAGCAAGCTTAGGGGGATGCTTCCGAGGGGACCACAGAGAACTCTATATGCTCAAGTGGGCTGACATGGCAAACGTTGTATTTGACACTAGCAGGGAAGAGTTTCTGGGCTTTACTTCTTAATAGGCAGACTGGAATTTAAATATTTAAGCATTTGGACAATTCTGAGTAGAGTGAGAATATCGGTTTGTTTGTCTTTCGAGTGAGTGAGGAATTCACTTCCAAGATGGAATCCCAGGGTAGCTGGATGCTCTTATGTTCAAATAGAGATTTACATCTCTCTTAGAAATGACTCAAATAAGAGATGAAATGATAGAAAGCAGTAGCCTGAAAGGGAAGGGGGAAAACAAAAAGAGGCCCTCAATTACAGTCACAGTCATTCAGGGGATTTTACATCTGGCAAGGGCTAGCCTGTCTTTGTTTCCACCAATGGAAGCCCCCAAGGGAATACAGCACACAGAATCCACAGGAAGAATTTGGTCATACTTTTCAAAGTAGTTTAGTTTTCAAAAACCTACCTTCCCTAAAGGGAAAAACACCTCGAGAACCAATTAGTGGTATGAAGAGCCAGGAGTAAAAGATTGCTCTCTGGCAGAAAGATGGTTTTGTTGATTTCAGGTACAAACCTAGGGCCAGATGCTAAAGCAAATGTTCCCCATGCTTATCTCCCTTGTGCCCCAGGGACATGCAGGCTGTTACATTTGTATCTTCTGAACAGAGACAAGAACAGAATCTCAAACACAATTTTTGTAAAACATAAGTCTGAATCACAGAACAGGCGGCAACTTTCTGAGGAGTAACAGTAGATTGTTGGAACAGGAGACGGAGAGGAGAATAATTCTTTCTTCCTTTTATCCCTAGTAATCACATTTCTTGTGAGCAGCGCTTAGGCCTCTATCCTTTATACGGTAAAAAGTAAACAAGACAAATGGATACTAAACATTCCCAATAAGGCTAAATTCATGACTGACGCCTCTTACTGTTCAAGATCGGCTATAAATATGCTGTCCAGCGGTTTTTAATGGTGTGATTGTCTGACTCAGCAGACCAATGTCAGGAAAGAAATTTACATAAATGGAAAGTGAAATCTTTCTGCAAGAAACAAGATGGTTAGAAACTGCTTAGGTAAGGGGATGCTCACTTTCGCAAACATGGATATACATATTAAGCCAGCTCTCCAATGTCTGCTTGAGCTTAAGTTATTGCCCATAAAAAAGCTAAGATGTTTGCTTTTAATTTCCAAAAATTCATTTCAGTTTCAATTTTATTTGGAATAAATTCTGCAAACAGAACTGTCATTAGGAATAAGAAGACGATCAAGCTGAGGTCCACAAATATGACCAAGGCCCATCTTCAAACACAGCACATGCTTAGGTGGCTTACGAGTCACAAGCATGATACAAGATAATTCCAGGGCAACAGCCCTTGATCTCTGGGAATATAAATGGATCAGATGACAGAGTCTTCATCGCAGGAAAGCACCTGGTCTGAAGTCAGACTGCTTGGGTTCAAATCATAGTTTAAGCAATGTCTGGCTATGTGACCACAGGCACACAGGCACTATGTGGAGAGGCACTAGCCACCAGAACCAATTTCCCTTCGATGAAGTGACATGATAGTCCAGCATGAATGTAAAGAGCAAAATTAGAGAAGCCATCTCACATACTTTTCATGCTGTCCGGCATACATTTGCACCAAGAACAATGAACATTATTTGCTGCTGTTATAATTACTATTATTTTCTGCCTGCTCCTGATGTGCATTTCTGAGTCAGATTGGAGAGTCTGACAGGTTGGATGATGGGCTCCAATTCTTGATCCTGCTCGGCACCCACACCTTTGCCAGAGCTTCATCGTGGGTGGACTGTGTTTCCCCACACCTTGGATTGACCTTGGATTGAACCATATGGCTCGTTTTGGCCAGTGGAGTGCACACACATGCGCGTGTGCATGTGCATGTGTGTGTGTGCGTGTGTGTGTGTGTGTGTGTGTGTGTGTGTGTGTGTGTGTGATGAACAATGAGCCAGTTTGGAGCCCAGAGCTGTCAAGGCTTCACCTTTGGTGTTGGCCCTCTGACACTTCATGAACAGCACATCCTGTTGCTCCAAGGTGCGGGGGAAATGCAGGGAGCGCACTCAGACGCGTGGACCTATGGTGTGATGGAGAGACACCAGCCTGAATCTGAACCCTTCTAGCTGCCCTACAGAGTCGGGAGGAAAATAAAGGCTCACTGATGTGTGTTACAAAAGTTCTGCCATTATTTACTACGCAACAAAAGCTATCTAATCCAAGGAGTGCATCAAAAAACTGTCTATCCACCATGCATTTCTTCCTTCCCAAGGAAAAAGACATTAGCTCAATGTCTAGGTCTGAAACAAGAGTGAAATGGTAAGTGTAAGAAGAAAAACGCCTTGACGAAGCCAGGAGGCGAGGACCAGCGGTGATCCGGTAAACCCTAATGGGGCCTTCTTGGCTTTCGTATGGGAGATGGCACACATTATTAGTATCAAGATGATTTAAAATGGCTAACATTTAGTGAAAGTGTACCATAGTACTGTGCTAGGCACTTATACATGCTGTCTCTTTTTGTCCTCACAAGAGCACCACCGGGAGGTAGGTGCTACTAATTTTACTCTTTTTACAAATGCGGAAATTGAGGCACATTGAGGACAAGTAACCTGCCTACATTCACAGAGGGTAAGAGCAGTGCAGGCAGGATTCAAGGTCACTCAGGAAGTGACCTTGTACAGCACACAGGGAAGACGATAGGGAGAACAGCTGATGACAGGCACAGACTGTTTTTGCCAGCCTATCATCACGTTGCTACTTTAAGTACATGGTGTGTATTAGTTTATTTAATCCCTAGAACCTTACCAATTAGGTATCGTTCATTATTCTGAGTCTACAGCTGGGAAACAGGAGAAGAGCAGGTCGTGTGCCTTGTCCACATTGGCACACAGCTAGCAAGTGGCTGAGTTGGATTTGAACCAGGCCTTCTAGAAAACCAGTATATTATGCTATGTTAACAGCTAGGATCCCGACCCAGCATAAAAGGAAGAATCATGTTCTTTCTTTTTTATAATTTATAAGCGTCTCCAAGTTACAAGGCAAACACACATTCCTAGCACCACGGCTATCTTCAAGTGCATAAAATGTGATAAATGATCTTTATACCACACTGACTCTCAGGCTCCACTGAGCTGTCTTCCCTGCGAGCAAAACTTTATTTGCTGCTTTTACGTTGCCTTATTTTAAGTTTTTTTTTTTCTGATTGTGTATTTTTAGGCTCAACTCTGTCATGTTACAAATTCAGAGTAATTCTAATAGAGTAATACAAAGAATGCAAGAAAGAATATTAATCACGATGGGTTTTCAGAACCGTCTCTAGGAAATGAAATCAAGCAGTTCAAGTGTGAAAACAGGCAACTGTTGCACAGATGTGTTCACACGTGCATTTCCAGCCCGGGGCAGGGAAGCCTCGGTGGCCTGAAGCCTGGACACACTCTCGCCATCCAGTCCTCAAGCCTCATCTCTAAGTCCCTTCACACTGACGTGCAAACATCATTCCCACTCACCTTAAAAGCAGCACCTCCGTGGATGATGGATTTGATAAAAATGCCCAAGTCTGTTCCAGTTTCTCGAGATTTGTTCCCCTTCAAGCTCACCCCAAGACCAGCAGAACCAGAATCATTCAGGGGGATTTCGAAGGTGAGTTGCTCACTGGTTTCCAGGGAGAGCGCATAGCAGTCAGGTTCTCCTTTCTGTTGGGAAGTGCACATACAAAGAGGGAAGGGAAGACAGCAGGTTAATATTTACACACTCAGATGGACAAACGTAGATGCATTTGGCAAGACAGGATGACTGGGCCTCTAGAAGCTGTGATCCTGTTCCCAGTGGGCAAAGGTTGGTCTTCTCTCTCTGTAAGGAGCTGGCACCATATCCAAGAGCTTTGGGGAATGCTATTTGGTGATGGCCAACAGAGAGGGTTCTTTGGCCAGGCAGGGTCATGCCATTTGAAACGTCGCGTAAGTGTGTAGAAATTCAGTAGAATATTCTCAATCATTAAAGACATTCGACTTAGGGAATGTTAGGTGCCAGGAAAGACTTTAGAGGTAGTGTGGTTGTAACACCATGTTACAGATAAAGATACGGAGCTTAGCATAGAAACATGCGAAAACTTTGAGAAAATATTTGGCTTCTATAATTTAAAACATATCGTTTACCATGATGCAATGCCATTGATAAAGACTGTCAATAGGATACAGAGCATTGAAAAAAATAAAATGTTATGTTCAAGTTAGAGAGATGTGCTTTATAACAGATACCACTGAATTAAATTTCACTTTGTCAAATCTCAGGCCGTAAGTGTGCTTCTTGGGGTAGTGTAATTCACGGACAGTTTTTAAACCTAAACAAAAATGACAATATACAACAAACACAGCTGTCCTCTTTGACGAATGACACCTAGTCACAAGAAGAGCTGAACTTAAAACACACAGAGTATAGCGGCCAAGGCACTTGTAGTGTTCAAATACCCAGGGAGAAGCCTGTGATGAGTCACACCTGGCCCCTAGTGGTTAGAGCTGTCCACATGATAAACTTCGTAGGGGCCCCTTCCCTGCCCTCTCAAGTTTGCAGAAATGTGAAACTCTGCCATGATCTTAACTGAAAAAATTAAAAATGAGATAACCCTGGAAACCATCAATTCATTCTAGGTTGGTATAATAGTTCCTTGCTCTCTGTAATTATGTCTAGAGACTCTCAACTTAAGGTCACTTTGAGGGACTCTTATGTAAAATTATGTATTTTAAAAATTACTGTGAGTGTCTGAATGTCAGTCACAAAATAACAACTATAAAACCCAAAGTAGCAGAGAGCCCATAATTAAATCATGATTAGGAGGTCTGATCATAGCCAGATCCAATGATGTAGCATTTTCAACTCCTACCAAAATAGAGAAAACCCATGTCTAACTTTAAAGAAATAGTTCCTTCATTTCTTTGTAAATGGAGTTGGCTGTAAAGGTTTTGACAATGGATAGTTCCAAAGAAATGAAACTTTATTGCTTAATTTAATAAACGTATTACAGGTTAGCTCTTTTAACTAACTCATTATGTTATTATCTAAGAAAAAGTCCTTTTATTTGATTCAAACTAGCTGTCTTTTTTCCACTGGAATGCCAGAGTTAAATACTAAATGTAAATTATTAGCTTTCATCTTTGTTTCCCAAAATGCCCTATTTACAATCGATATCATTTCATAATCATTTATGTTTCCAGGCCTCTCAGGGATTTGGTCAATTTTAGTCTAATAAAATTCTACTGAATTAAAGTATACATTAAAGAACAGCCGTTCTTACTAGAAGTTTGTGAACACCAGTTTAGAGAGACTAGAAAGCTTCCCTGGCTTTTTATCTATTAGAGACAAAGTGACACAAGGACAAGTTTTGCCTGAATAACACTTTCAAACCACTTTATTCTATAATCAAATCAGTTTTCTTTTGGCAGCTCCATTTAATTCTTAAAAAGACTGACAACCATTATTTGCACTAATGCCTTTCATTTATTATAGAAGTGGTAAAAACAAAATAGAAATCAGATGATATTATGGCAATCTTTTCATTTTAAACTTCAAATTTATTCATTTTTTCTAGTCCCTGATATCTGAAAGCTAAATATAACAACCAAAAATGAGCCAGAGGCTAACAATGATTGTTTCTGTTCTGTCAGAAACATATCAATATACTTACTCTTCAACTAATCAATATACAACTACCCTTTGAGGGTTATTATCATGCTTATTTCCAGATGACAAAACTGAGATGCACAGCAGTATGTAAGTACCGTGTGTGCATGTGTGTAAGTACCATGCTTATGGTTCTTAAGACTTGGCAGTGCTACAGTTTTGTGGAACCCAGGCAGTGTGGTTCCTGTGCCAGACTCTTAGCTGCTAGGCTAAGTCTCTACTTCTGTGAACCGCCATGGCTTGGCCTGGCCACAAGAAATTCAAAGACAGGTTCCTACAATGACAGTAAGCCGCCATGCGATTTCACATTCTCCACCCAATTACAGTTATGTTTTATAGCTTTCTCCGGCTATACCAGGCTAAAGCCATAATTAGTGGTCTCTAATAATAGCAAACTTCCCAGTGGTGAAGGAAGCCATTACGGCAGTTAACACAGCCATTTCCTCTGTTAGAAATAAATGTCCCTTTACCTAATGTACAAAAAAATCAATATGCTGAATGCCTTCTTCCAATACTCTTGCCTCAACTAGTAACTCTGAAAATGAAACTCACATCTTGCCAGACAACATTTTGTAGCAGGATGGAAAGAGGTATCAAGTCCTTGCAAGAGTCCCAAATATGGGACCTTCGGAATAGGATGAACCCAAAGGCAGTGGCACATCCAGACCGCGGACCCTCCCTGGCTTCCTGGCTTTTGGACAAGAGCTTTCCCAATGGTGTCGGGAGTATCCCTTGCTTTTTCCACCCAAGACATCCAGTCGGGGGGAGGGGGAGAACCAAAGAGGAAAGCCTGGAGTAGTAAGGAAAATCTTGTGAATTTTATTGATATATTTTGTGTCTTTTCATGATCTCTTATGCTTTGCCACGACCAGCTGTGTCTCTAGCTTTGAAGTCCTTGAGGTTGCTAGAGCTGGGCTCAGGATGGACGCTCCAATGCCCCGACTTCACGTGCCTAGACCTAACACCCTAGCATCCGCCCTGGGCCAGACATACAGGATCCTCAACTCAGGTTTTCCCGACCTCAGTATTTGGGGCCCGATAAATCTTTGTTGTGAGGGACTATGCTGTGCGCTGCAGGATATTTAGCAGACTTCCTAGCTACTACAAACTAGATGCCAATAGTACCTCCTTTCTCAAGTTGTGACAACCAAAAACGCCTTCAAGTCACCTCCAGTTGAGAACAACAGCCCTGAATCAACAATTGCCAAATGCAGTCAAGGTTAAGGCAATGAGGGTCCAGAGAGACCCAGCAGGGGTAGCAGTAAAAGCCCCTGCATCTCACTGTGCCTCAGGCTCACAGCTTCATGACCGACCATTTAGTGGGTCAGAATGAACTACTGGTGAATCCAGCAATTCGTTATATCTCTGGTTATATGGTAGTTAATTTTCCAGAGGCAGAAATGTGATCTCTGTGGCATGAACAGAGTAGGAAAGGAGATAAATGTTTAATTTATTGTTACATAGGCAAAATGCTGCCTTTTATTTATATCAGAATCCAGAAGAAAAATGCAGCCCATCAAGTGGTGTTTGTCAGGTTAGTTATGCTTACATGTATTCTTATTTATTAAGAATCACAAAATTATATAAATGGTTCTGACACAAAGACTTTTAATCATGTGAGAATATGATATGAAATTAAGCACAAAAGCTTATGTGTATAGTATACTTCAGTTATGTAACATATACACTCTATACACACCCTCAGACACCTACCCATCTACCTATTACTTACCTGCCTCCCATCCCACCTCATCTATTTCTATAGAAAACAAAATGGTTACCTACTGGTGCTGGAATATGGACCATTGCTTTCTTTATAATTTTTCTGTGTTTTCCAAACATTTCTCAATTATTATAAGAAAATATTGAGTTGCCGGAAAAGTCATCACGCATTTTTGCAACGAAAAACATAGAAAAAAATACATCATGACTTTTCCGACAACCCAATATTTATAAAAGAAACCTATGAAGGTATAAGAACTGTTTGCTATATTATTGTACCTCCAACTACAGAGATGATAAACACATCTGTATAATGGCACGCACACATGCGCATGCGTGCGCACACACACACACACACACACACACATTGTAATTCTATGTATACTTTATATATACCCTATAGTAGAATATACACTATATATGTTCTTTAAAACGACACATAATAAATATGTATATATATTCTATAAATATATACATGTGCATGTGTGTGTATATAGTATATTTACAGCTCCTCCTAGAATCACCAATGGCTTCCATGTTGCTAAATATGATGTTCAATTCTCACTTTTCATTTTTCTTGTTCTACAGTATCATTAGACTCAATTGCTCAAAACCCTACTTCTTGAAATATGAGGTGTGATAAAAAAAATATGGTGAATGTTTAAATTAAAAAAAATTTACAGTAAAAGAGACATTGCCATTAATTCCCCTCAAAATTCTCCCCCCTCACTTCAAACACACTTATCCTATTGTTCTTGTCACTTTCTGAAGCAGTTCTTGAAGGCACTCATTTTTCGTGAGTGCCTTTAGTTGCGCTGTCATGGCTGCCTCCATGTCCTGAGTCATTTTGACTTTGGGGAAGAGCCAGAAGTCTCATGGTGCCAGGTCTGGTGAATGAGGTGGATGAGGACACATCATAATGTTTTTATTTGACAGAAATTGCCCTATACCAGAAGCAATGTTGGTCACACTCAACTGATTGCACTGAACAAGTTAAAACTTGTCACACACTATTACTAAGGTTCCATGCACTGCTTCTGTATTGAAGATCCCTGCCTTTCTGTTGCGTGGCACTTGGCAGCAGCATTCACTGTATTTTGTGATCACAACGGAAAGGCTCCATGTCATACATCACTTCTAACACAGCAATTTCTGTCAAATAAAAATATTATGGTGTCCCCATCCACCTTATTCACCAGATCTGGCACTGTGCAACTTAGGGCTCTTCCCCAATGTCAAAATGACCATGAAAGGTAAACATTTTGAATCAATTCAGGACATCAAGGGAGCCACA